TAACGTACAACAGTACACATTAATATTTTTTAATTGTGTGCGTTGGAAAAATAAATAAACCAATTATTTAACGTCAGACTTTCGTCAGACTTTCGTAAACCTAGAATATTGAAATATGCAGGTAGGTTTTTTGTATAGCGTGAATGAGCATCAAGAGAGGAAAATAGGGGTTCAAAGATAATATTGAATTTCGTCAGTTTTGAAGTTGCAAATCTGAAGTTTTGGGTTGATGGAAAAATATGGCAACAATTTGTTTAAAATGGTCTGTCACGAAACTTGATGTAACAAACCAAATTCTACGTGGACGAAGCCGCAGGCAACAACAAGTATTTTCATAATTTTTGTATAAACAAAAAATCGATAGTAGTGAATGAGGCAATATCGAATATGAACACAGCTGACGAAAAATCTATGATTCAATACACTTTAACCACTTCATATACATCATGAAAAATACAAGCGAGCCAAGAGAAGTGAAGGAAACATCCATACATTTTTTCAAATCATTCGTCTTCATAATAAAAATCTGAAGCTCACCATGAAGCTCATTCTCCTCACATGTATTTATTTTTTTTCAGAATATTTGAATAAATTGAGAGAATTTGGACAACTGAACCACTGGGGCCAACTGCAATTCATGTTGGAAATGGCCAGAATTTATACGGAGATAGTATTGAAGAACCAAAATGTTCAGGCTCTTCTGAATTCCGATGAAAAGTTCGATTTAGTGATCATGGAACACTTCTGGAATGAAGCTTTCACAATATTTGCTCATCATTTCAAGTGCCCATTGATTTTCGTTGCTCCGGGACCAACTACAATTTTCAACAGCCACCTATTAGCTAATCCATCTTTTTCGTCATACATGCCCAATCTCTTAACGGGCTATGGTTCTAAAATGAACTTCTGGGAAAGACTGTCGAATACTTTTCTGGATTTACTTTCAGCAGCTTTCGTTGAATTCAGACTACTTCCAGATCAGAATGCTGTATTGAAAGCTACAATTCCCAATGCTCCACAGCTGAGAACTATCTTGTACAATGCCAGTTTGNGTATATCTGAGCACTGGCAGACCCAGGAAAACATTATACACATTAACCTCAATAATTATTCACTGTCATCTCATTTCTGTAGGCAACACGCAATTCACGGTGGTGTGTCCATATATGTGGGAACAGGAATTAAATTCAAAAATGTAGACTTAAAGTCATTTTGTGGAGTAACTGCGGAATTCTGTGGTATTGAGTTGCCCAGCACTGGAATTATAATTACAGTGTACAGGTCCTGCATGGGAAATTTCCAAAATTTTCTTCAACGATTGGAAGAATTACTCATATCCACATGAAAAATGGTCACATGAAAAATTAGCACATAACACAATATTCAAATCCTCACAATGGTAGATAAAAACGTTACATCCAGGTCAAATAAATAACACGATCGGTTTGAAACCTCAGTGAACATAATGCTCACATATCACGGTTTTGGTATGCACTTTTTGGTTTGTCCTTGAGCTCGCTCAGCGATTCAGTTTCTATTTCTTCAAATGTCGCAAAACGACGCCCATTCAAATCTCTCTTCAAACTTCAACAGGAAAAAGTCACAGCGGTGCAAATCGGGTGAATATAGTGGCTGTGTTATGATTACAGTGTTGTTTTTAAGCGAAAAATAACGATTGGACTTTGGTTTCAATGTCATGACCGTATATCCATGATGCGCCACCAGTTATGACCGTTTGAAGCAAATGTGAATCGCCGTTAACGTCATTCAACAATTCCTGAGTGTTGCTCATGCGACGCTTTGTTAGAAGAAACTCAACAATTTTGGAACAAACTTTGCTACCACACGCTTCATGCCCAAAATTTTCGTAATAACTGCAAGGCATGAGCCAATCGATATGCTGACAACCGCAGCATCTCTTCTAACAGTGATTTGACGATTTTCTCTGAAAATTTTCATCGGTTATTGATGTGCTGGGGCGTCAAAGGTGACCATCGTCATCCACATCATATCTACCTTCTGTGAAAAGCTTGTATAAATTATTAACATCTTTCTGACTCAGGGTACAATCACCGTATGGCACTGTCAACATTTCAAAAATGTTTGAGCACTCAATTCTATTATTACACAAAATTCAATGGCAATTCTTTGATTCATTTTTTTCGATAGCAGAAAATTGCCGAACACACAAAACATTTCTAACTGTTATGCCTCTCACCATCAAGTTAATTATACTGAACAGCTGAAACTATGAACACATTACGAACTCCTCAATTGGATTGTACGGCGTGGTACAATTGAATGGCCGCCAAGATCCCCAGACTTAACGCCATTAGATTATTTTTATTAGGGATATATGAAAGACAAGGTTTATCAAAATAGGCCGGCTAATATTGAAGATGTGAAAAGTAGAATTAGAGTGGAATCACATAACATACCGGCTGAGGCCATTCGGAATTCCGTAGACGGGTTTTACCATCACCTAGGAGCGTGCCAAGTAGAGAATGAAGGCCAATTTCAGCATCTGTTACGTTAATTCACCCGTAGAAAGCACTAAGTTAGGTATTTGTAACTTTTCAAATAAGTTTTTCTCATTTCGTCGTAAACACAAAAAAAATAAAGGGTATGGTCAGAATCCATTTTTTACGAGATTTTCAATGAGCCCATACACGACATAGGTTTGCATTTGAAAAAAAAGTTGATTGCATTGTGTCGTTTGAAAAAAACCATTTCATACCCATCTGGGCTTTCTTCAATGATTTCTGCAACATAGTGTCGAAAAGTTGACATTGTTTTTCCATATATAATAACAATACAACAATCACCTACTTTAGGCTCATTTTCTTCTTCAAGTCCGTTGAAATCTTCAAGAGAATCAGATGATTCGTCAAATTCTAAGATTTCCTCATCTGATGATGAACTAGATTCCAAGACTTTTTTCTTGATGTTGTTTCGTTTTATCGTAGCTGAGGCACGTTTTTTCTTTTTGTCTTCGCGAATTCGCGCTTCCTCTTCCAGTTCTTTTTTAACGGGAGTATCAGTTAAAATTATTGATCGTCTTTTTTTGCGTGCAGATGTATTTGTTTTCCGTGGTGCAGCTTTGGGATAAGGACGTATTTCTTCGGGGGTAATACATTTTGATGGTCCAGCCTCGCAGTTTTGAAGCAAAACATTTCGAGTTTTTGGTGGATCTGGGGAACGGTTTTCTAAAATTTGCTACTTTTTTTCTTGCACCGGGTCTAAATTTTGAGGCTGATTGACTGGATCCGATCTATCAGTAACATAAGAAGATGCAAAGTCAATATCAGAAAATATCTGATCATCAAACGGTTCTATACCAGTGGCTTTAAAACCACTACAAATGTTTTTTGGCGTGAACGCTTGAGGAAACGCTTCTCCACCTAAACCTGCTACATCATGTATGGTGATAGGCCTACCAGGATGATTCACCATCCATTCATCATAAGCAGTGTTATGAAATTTCTTAAAAGGTCCAAAAACACTGACGTCCAAAGGCTGTATTTTATGGCTGCAATGGGGAGATAGCGTTTACATTAGAATGCCGTTTTCTTTGTCAAAATCGAGTGCCACAATGTTTAAGTGACTCTCGTGATTATCTAGGAGAATAAGTTTGGGTTTCTCTCTAGTAGGCCTCTCATGTTCTGCAAAATGTTGTAAAAGTGGTAAAAACAACGAGCTATTCATCCAGCCTGTAGGTATTGCAACATCTTTGCTTCCTGGAGGGGCACCATATAGCATGTGTTCCTTGAAATGAACCCGTGGAAAAATGAGGAATGGAGGAACGAATTTTCCAGTAGCTCCAATAATACCCACCAGAGTAACTGGAGTTCTTCGCTCCGCTGAAGTTACTTGGCCGACATTCTTGTTACCCTTCTTGGTTAATATCTTTATAGGTTTATGAACAGTAGTAGCAGCTGTCTCATCTAGATTATAAATATCGTGTGCCTCCAAGTCATATTTAGTTCTAAGCTCTCGCAAATTTTTTAAAAAAGCTTCAATATTCGTTTTATTAGAACTAGTTGTCCTGCTCAAACTGATTTGTTGAGGAGTTCGTAATGTGAGCTTGTACCTTTGACGAAATCCAAACAGCCATTCTTTACCAGCCATGCCCTTTTCCGACCAACTTTCAGCAAAATGTTTATTGTTTGCCACTGCGAACTCATAAGCCAGAATACGAACTTGTTCACTACTCAAACCGTGGTGAATGTCAGAGGCACGTAAAATGTTATCTCTAAGCATGATTTCTTCTGCATGTGTAAAAACTAATAAATGTTAATTTTTCGGCCGAAAGTTTACTGAATTTAAATCAACATTTCTGCATTTATCAACAAATCGTTTTGAAGTTATTCGTGGTATTTCAAATCGAGTCGAAGCGCTTCTCACAGAACACCCTTCTTCTAAAACTACTCTAACAGCGTGTTTTAGCTGTTCTTCCGAGTAAGACCTCTGATAAGTAGTGCGCTTTCTAATTCGTGGCATTGTGCTTGGCATTGTGTTCTTCTGAAAAGAAGAACAATCAAAGTTATAG